CGTTCTCATCCCCTGTGTCCTGTATTTCTGTATTGATGACTTACATTAGGCAATAAGTATATACAACAGGGTTGGTAATTTCTGGCAATGGCACAGAAAAATATATCAGCACTGAGAGGCAAGGTAAGGTCAGGACAGTCCTGACTCCATAGTCCACCACTGAGTCAGCCCTATCTTCCTTCCCTCAAATGACCCAGCTTCTGCTGCATTCCTCTCTGTTGCCCCAGTACCCCACTCTTGGCAGTAAATGGACCCGAAGTCATCCTTTATAAAGTTTCAACTGTTTGGTGGCAGCTCCAAGGTGCAGTCACATTTCTAAAGGACACTCTTAAAGGAGAAAAGGCAGCAACCTTTAGGTAGATACTACCATTCCATCCAGCCCTACAAGGAGTCCATCATGGTTTGGAAACCACTCCTGAAACTTTGCCAGTCATTGACAGAGCCCTTGTTAGATCGTCCACTCTTCAAAGCTTTTTGGCTTGTATTATCCCCTTCACGCACCAGAACAACCTGGAAAGCAGATGAAGTATTATTATCACTAGTTTGCCAGGAGCAGTGCTAAGTCGCAGAAAGGTCATGTGAGTCTCCCAAGGTCACACAGCTAGTTAGTGTCAGCCTGAGCAGCAGCAGTCCCTGCTCAGCAAGCTCTCAAAATGAATCATTTGTCCCACATCAGAAACAGTTCTCCAATTCCATCTCGGGAAACTGACGGCTGTGTAGCATTTTCCGTGAATGTCCTCCTATCTCTAATTACCTGTGTAGCTCAGTCCAAATGACTTTTAAAATATAAAACCTCACTATTTCAGCTGACCATCTCTAATGTACAGTAATATAATGAGGGTGCTTATGTTCGGTCATGTAGCGTTCCTACTAGAACTGTCCAAGTGACATTTTGGGCTGTAGAATTATCCTAACATTACACTAAGAATACATTTTAAAAATCAAAAAAAAGAGGAACAGAAAGCATAAAAGAATCTAAAATGCAAAGCCACCCAGTTAGGAAACGAAGCCTTTTTTAATGTATTCTATTCTGTATGCTCTAAAGTTTAGACCATTTTGTTCTTAAACCACAATTTTCCTCATCGTGAGAACATAGATATACTGGAAACCATGACTTTTAGAGAAAGAAGGCGATGGGCATTGTGTGTTAGCAATGAAGTTTTCCATGGAAGCACTTTCCGTAGAAGAAAGGTCATTTAGTCCAACATGCTGAAGCATTCTACTATTGCTCCTTCATGGAATAAAGACCTGGAGGACACCTTTCATCATGAAATGCGTAAAAAATAAAATGTTCTTCAGGTCACCCAATTTCAGGCTAAAAGTGGGAAAGTTTTCAAATCATGTTTCTTATTCTAAGCATTCATCAGTGTTATTTTTCATGTAGCATTTCCAGCTTGAGCTCTACCAGCAAGACCAGGCAACCCTGGCTATGCCTCTATTCTCCAAGACCAGCCATGGCTGCCCAGTGCCTGTACAGTGCAGTCCAAATCCTTCTATGTGGGACCAGGCTCTTCATAACACTCCAAAATATCTTCGCAGCCTGTGCCTGACACTGTCCTGGATGTTTGATGCCAACTCGAGTGCTTCTCCTTCCTCACAAGCATTCTAGCTCCTGCTGCCTTGTTTGCTCAAGTCACCTCTTCCACATGAAATGTTCTGTCCCTTCTCCGCCTGCCCAGTTCCCTTGTAGTGGCAAAGACAGCTCAAAAAATTAATGATAGATGATAGATAAATAGATGATTAGATAGATGATAGATAGATAGATGATAGGTAGATAGATAGATAGATGACAGATAGATAGACAGATAGATGATAGATAGATTGCCTTCTTGTTCCTTTTAAATTACAAATAATGTTCCTAGTGCAACAATTTGTTCATGATAGATGTTCAGTAAATTTGCTGAGTGAATAAGCAGATAAACCCCATGAGTCTCAACAAAGCAAAAGGTGCATTAGTCCTTCATGGATCTCCCCAGTGTCAGTCAGAAGACTGTTAGTGAAAGCGTGAATCTTTTCGCAGTTTGCTCCCTAAGCATGTCCATCTTTTCCTGTTCTGTGATTCAGTGGCTTATTCCTGTCACCATACTGCATGTTCGCATCCGCTACACCTCCACATACTTTGCGAAGTGTTTTCCTTTTGAACCACAAGGGGAGGATTTTTTTGCTACAAAATTTTGAAGTAAAAATACAAACATTTTTTTCCTAGAAGACTGTACCATTCTTATAAGGTTGTGTGCTTTAGAAGTAGTTAAGGAATTCAAATAAATAGTCAAGAACCCAAGTGGAGGTCAGAGGCCTGTCCTATAAAGAGAGACTGCCAGCTCAACCTCAGGCCCAGGGCACATCCAGTGCGGCAATCTTAGTGACCAGCTCTGCCTGTCCCTCCCCTGGAGTCCACGCTCGCTGAACAGATCCCTGTGAAGTGTGGCTGGAGACCTGACCTAATGAAATCCAACCAGCAGGGTCACCGGGGCCGCTGAAGCGTGAGTCGGCGTTTCCCAAGTCCATGTAACAGAAGCTCACTTTGCACAGCGGGGGGACGGGTCAGAAGGCTATCTGGTAGCCAAGGGCACAGCTGGGGCTTCAGAATAGCAGCACGAGGATGTAATGGGACCCCTACCTGGGACATTTAGCCAGGGAATCATCTCAGTCGTCCATCTCTTATTCATAAACACGGGAACACGTTTTCTTTAGCTCTTTGCCCTTTCTGGTTACACCTACAATGTACTGTACCACCTCTTCTCTGTATGTCACGTAAAATGTGCCTGGCACGAAGCATCCTGTCACCATGTTTATCAGTACCGTGCTGGGTTGGGATGTGTGATTACTGCTGCTCCCAGAGCAGGCACAGGCATTGATTGTTTAAAGGCAAGGCTTTAAGAAGTTCTTCAAACCCCATGAAGATCGTAAGTCCTCAGAAATGTGAGACAACCCTGCAATCTGAGGCAAGACTGTACCACCAGCCAGTCTTATGGCTACGTGTGTTACTCATTTTATTTCAGCCTTAAAGGAGATTAAATATGGTAGGATGATTTATTTTATTTTTTACACGTTAAAATTCAATAGGAAATTTTTAACCATAGCCAATTCATCAGACTCACTCACCAGGGAGCCGGATCACAATGTGTTCTCTCTCCTGAACTCACTGAACAGACAGAAATGCAAGGCGCTCACCAGGAATCAGCTCTGGAAACAGACTCAGTTTAACTCATTCGTCTGACCTGGGCCATAGCTCATGTCCTGACCCCCGTGTGGCAGGCTTTCATCAGAGGAATACAGATCAAAGGCTCTGGGATCAGACTTGGAGTTTGGCCCTCACTGGCTACTTAGGCCTAATCAATCTCTCAATTTCCTTCTCTGTAAAGTGTGAATAGTAATAACAATACTAACTTACATGATTGTTGTGATAATTAAAGGAACGTTAGCTGTCATTTGCACTCTTAAATTTAGCTAGGATCCATCGTTTGTTGGGGAGAGGGGGCTTATGGATCCTGGAGAAACAAGATCTCATTTTAACTGTAATGGAGGAGAAAAAGCACATATTTTATACAGTATTCATATTCTAATGCTCAAGTCTCCAAGTCAGTGATTCTCAAATCACTGGTGCTCAAATTACTGGTGCTCCCAGAGCCACACGGGCATTTACTGTTTAAAGGCAAGGCTTTAAGAAGTTCTTCAAACTCCGTGAAGACCTGAAGTCCTCAGAAATATGAACTGCAGACACCTAGGTACTCAAGGACCCGTTTAGAGATTCCTCAAGGTCAAAACTATTTTCTTTTTCTTTTTTTTTTTGAGACAGGGTCTCAGTATGCAGGTCAGGCTGGCCTTGAGTTCACTTTGTAGCCCAGGCTGGTCTTGAACTCACAACGATCCTCCTGCCTCAGCCTCCTGAGTGCTGGGATTACAGGCGTGCGCCACCACGCCTGGCATTATTTTCATATTAACACGAAGCTGTTGCCTCTTCCCATTCTTTTGTAAGTGCACAGAAATTCGCTTTAGCCACTGCTTCGCTTTCCAAGGTCTCAGTTATCCACAGTCAACCACAATCCAAAGCTTTTTTCTTTTATAATCCAAAAATATTAAATGAAAGTTTCCAGACACAAGCAATTTGTTGCCATTAAATTGCATTCCATTGTGAATAGTGAATGAAATCTCAAACCATCATGCTCTATCTTATGTATAACGTGAAGCATCCCTTTGTCTAGTGTATCTGAACTGTGTACACCATCTCTCCTTTAGTCACTTAGCAGACAACTCGGTTATCAGATTAACTGTCCCAGTATCACAGTACTTGTCCTCGAGTAACCTTTGTTGTACTTAATAACTTCCCCAGAGCACAGCAGTAGTAATGGTGACAATTCAGATCTGTCAAAGGGAAGCTGTAAAGCACTTCCAATGCTGGAGTTGCGAAGATCTACCATAAGAGTGAATCTTCCACCCATGAAATTGTGGAGAAGAAAACCACACTAGTTTTGCTGTCACAATTGAAACTGCAAAAGTTACGGTCAGTGTGTGACCAACAGTTAAGATAGAAAAGGCCTTCCTGCACATGGCTTGGCATCATCTGTGGTTTCAGGCATCCACTGTGGGCATGGACTGTTTGTCCCACAGATAAGAGAGAGTGAATGTACAACAGAATATTCCAGAGGCCAGCAGATATGTGACGACCTCATCACTTAACCGTTAATGGAACATGTGTGTAACATTCTTGTGTTTTAAAATTCTTGTTATCATTACAAATGTAGTAAGCAACAATAGATGTAACCCAAATAAATAGATACCTTTGAGGTACACAATAATTGTTAAGAATTTAGAAGGATCCTGAGACCAAAAAGCTTGAAAACCACTACTAAAGTGTCTCAAGTTAAATCCCCTCACCTCCCTTTCAAAATCTGTAAAGCAAAAATACGAAACTCATCGCTTCACTTGGAGTCTGTGCACCAGAATCGGCCCCCTACCCGAGGCTGCCCTTCCTGTCTTTTTGTCATTATGTGTTTCAGGCTGTCTGAGTCCAACTTCCCCGGTGAGGACTGGATGTGGGACTATCAGAAGCACGGCCATCGGCACTCCGTGATCAGAAGAGTCAAGAGGTTCCTGAGTACCCACGAGCACCCCACCAGCCCCAGGAGGAGCTTCAGGAGGCAGGCCAGCGACAGCTCCATGCTCTTCTCCATCAGCCCAACCCGGGATCTGCTGCACGTGCCCTCCAGAAGCCCCCCCAGAGCCTCCCATAGCCAGTCCTGTTCCCCGGAGGGCAGCCCCAAACTGCACTCCAGCACGGGAGAACTATCCACAATCAGGGAGACCAGCAGGACAAGCACCCTCCAGAGCCTGACCCCACCATCCAGCGTGAGGGCCTCCCCCACCAAAATGCCCCAGGTCCCTGAGGTATTGATCACAGCGGCTGAAGCACCAGAGCCCTCATCCGATGGCCATCACCACGACTCCACCACCTCCATCACTAGCTTTGAGTTTACTGGGGTTCAGCCAAGCAGGACGGAGCAGCAGGAGGACCCCGGAGGATTACTCCTGTCCCCCTCAGAGGAGGGGACACCTCCTAGGAACCTTACTCTCCACACTGCTTCAGCCAGTACTGAGACAAATATGTTGAAGTTTGAGGAAGGGCCGGACGACGACAGATTCCTGAAAAGGTGGAGCCTCCCAGCGTTTCAGCAGTCCAGCCACACCTCCCCGGGAAATCTAAGTCCCGACCGCGTGAGCCCTGGGCTCCCTCTCTTACTTGAAACGCAAACATCCTCAGAGCCCAGTGTAGTCAGCAGTGGGGCTGGCTCTCAGGTCTCTCCTGATATACTGTACTTAATGGAAAACCTGGACACCAAGGAGACGGATATCATAGACTTTAACAATGAACAAACGGAGGAATCCCCCAAAGGAACACCACAAAGCTCTCGGACCCGGTTCTAGCCCAGATTCCACTTTTCCAAAGGCTCAGCATTAATCCCAGACCACCCCTGGAGTCTGGTTAGCTTTTTGAAAAAAATGATCCCACTGTATAAGCCACTTCAAAATTCAAAGGGCATTATGATCTTAACTTTTTGAAAACTTTGAAATCAGATACATTTACATCATCCATAATAATGTGGCTTTCATGGAAGTTATATACACCACAACGAAGTATCTTAACCAGATAAGGAATCTTACATAAATAAATCATAAATCTGACGTGTAAATTCATAGATGATTAGTTATGGAAAGGGCCTCATCGGTCATAACCTAATCCCCTAGACACAAAGGCCCAAACACAAGGATTCTCTATATCTTCCTTTTTTATTTTACTTTTTCCTTTCTTCTTTAATTATATAGAAGATGGATAACACAATGCCCCAAAGACCCTTTTCTACTTATAATTCTTCAAGGCTTTCTAACCATCTCACTGTACTTTTATAACTATTATTATCATTTCTCAATTCTTAAGCTTCATCAGCTCAGAGAATTCCATTTCTTTTCAATTTCACTTTCACTTTCAAGTGTTCATTTTTCTCTCCTCTGTCTTTGTTCTCTGTTTTTTCCCTTTCCTTCTCTGCAGTCTGGCTTAGTCTCTAGTTACTTCTGTCTGTCTCACCTCCCATGTTATGTTTCCTGGCCTGGCCTGTTGCCTGCTTCTCACCATGGGGTTCCACATAGGAGGCATTGGCAAAGCATCCCACAGGGTCGCCAAACAGGTCAACAAATACAACCTCACACACACCCAGCCTCCCAGGGGGCCAGGCTAGTTGTATCTGCCGCTCTCAGAACCGTTGCTGGTGCACTCCGATTCTGCCCCAGCACTTGGACACTGGAGAAGACTGAGGCTAAGAGGATACGAAGCTTGCCCAACTGAATGCTATGGAACCAAAGGGTAACATGGTTTAAATCGGCTTATTTTGAACTCTTACACAGAAATCTCAATTGTGTCACAACATGGGACCAGCTATTGTGTCTATCAGGTTGCTTGGAATGAAATAGACTATTAGAGACAGGGTCCAGGCCTGCATAATGGGGACTGGGTTTTGACTAACTCCTTCCAAGGGCTCTTAGAGTGGTTATTTATTGTGAGCTCCTAAGTCTATAAGGCCTTTCTTTATAAGCACCACTCTATTTGCCCTCTGATGAAACTTGGCTATATATGGCTTAAGAAATAAAATAACCCTTGTAGCGATCATTCATTGAGTGCTCACAATGTTCCAGGCAGCAGCATGTAAAATAAAAGATGATCTCACTGATCCTATAGGAATCCTATGACAGTCATATACTAATATTGCCCCCCACCCCTTTTTTGAGACAAGGTCTCACTTCAGGCTGGCCTAGAACTCACTATGCAGCCCAGGCTGGCCTTGCATTCATGATCCTCCTGCCTCAGCCTCCCAAGTTCTAGGGTTACAGATATGCACCACCACACCCAGCTTCCTTTTATCTCATTTTAAAAATGAAGAAAATGGAAGTTTTAAAGAAGGAATTTATCTAAAATCACATGACCAGACTCATCTAGCTCAAGAACCCACACTCTTAACCACTGATCTTCCCCACTGCTCCAAACTATCTGTAAGACCCTGAATCTGCTGGCAGTTTTCTCAGGATTCTGGAGAATACTCCAAGGAAGTCATACCCAAGTCACAGGCTCATGCCCAGCTTTAGAGACCTCACTCAGTCCTGCCTACATCTTTCGTGCATTTACAGGGGGAGAGTGGTGCTTCAACTTTGAGGCACAGCTGTACCCTCTTCATATTTCATGACAGCAGAAAGTTGGCAGGATCCTCCTGTCCCTTACCTGGCTCCTCCTGAGATATAGTGTCATAATCAGTCCATGTTCGTAAGACTTTGAATCTCAATGGGCCTCCCGACCTATGAGAGCAAGGACACTTTAACTGGCTTTTCTCAAAGGACTGAAAGGAAATATTAGAAATGCTATCCACTGATGGTTCTCTGTGTTGGTCAGTAGTGTTAGTTCCTAACTATCCCCAAAGGATTACATGTGCATGATAGGAGAGGGCCCCAACAGAATGCTTCTAAAAGGCCAGAACCATAACCTTCTCCCAGTCACCAACCTCTTTGTGCAATTTTCTAGTGTGTTTCAACTTAAATCCCTCCAATCGCTTTCTTCAACTCTATTTATTGCTCCTATTCAAGTACATTTCGACTTGGCTACTTTGGAAATATGATCAATTTGCATTCCTAAATCTAATGAGATAAATTATCTGGAAGTGAATAACACATCTTGTGAAAGGATAGGCGCGTGTTCATTTATTTCTGCTTCCATCCATCCCTTGTGCCCCTTTGTCCAGAGAACCGATTTCTACCATATTTCTTCAAAATTCAGAATGGCCTCTCATTTGCTCCTTGCACTGAAAACTGAATTATGATTTGTTCTATGAGCCCATCTGGTGGAAATTCGCTATAAATTCAAGCCAGCAATTACTCGGTGCAGATGAAGAAATTCTCTACTCATTCGAAAATGAGTTTTTACCAGTACAGACCAAAGTAGCAAAAACAAGAGGATTTCTTCTCACGTGCCTGATTTTCATAGCCTGCCTAGCCCTGTTTTCCTGGGCTCTGGAACTTTCTCCCACGTGGATGATGGTCCGTGGCCTGGCGACTTGGTCGTGTGGCCTTGGCCAGTCAATAGGCTCAGCTTCTCTCTGCATTGTGTGATCTGCGAGGCAGAGCACAGGCCGAGGCCATGCCCTGTTTGTTGCCTTCTTTCCCTGATCTCCCAGGGTAACTCTGCCTGATGCTGGGGTTCAAATTCAGCAATGTAAGAGCCACTAACTTCTGCCCAGCTATGCAGCAATGATTGGCTCCCGCTAAAACGAAGACAGCTCTTCTCCCCGTCTTTTCTTTCATTATTCCATCTACCTCTTGGCTCATCACTTCCACCACTGTAGGCCTGGTTTCAGCCTTGTTCTGTTAAGCTGCAGTAAACTTATTTTAAATGGAACAAAGAAATGTAAAATTTGCCATTAGTGTAAAGAAAATACTCACTTAGGGCCTGGGAGTGTAGCTCAGTGCTTGTGTAATATGTGTGAGGTCTTGGCTCCCATCCCCAGCACAGCCAAAAGAGAATAAAAGAAAAAGAAAAGACTCACACACCCTTCCTTCTTCAGTTTTTTTCCTCTCTGTCTTACTTCTTCTCCCAACAAATTGTTTCAGTCTTTAACAGTTTCTCAGAAACCTGATTACCATGAAATCTGTTGTCTGAGGGGCTGGCAAGCCCAGGGAGGCAGTTATGGAATAAGTACTGCAAAAAATGACACGTGGATTCTCTCTGGGATAGCTTTAGAGACCTGAACAAGGAACTGTCCCCTGGATTTCATATTTCCATCTGTAAAATGGGCCTTTTCTGGATCGTTTCACTAGGCCACCAAGAGGCATTTTAGAGGATGCATGTGAAAAGGCCGGGGCCCCAGGCCTCACCATGCGTATAACAGGCATGATGAGATTGATGCTCCTGTGGATTCACCATGAACTTCTCCTCTCCCTGTGGTAGTTTGTTCATCTGGGCCCCTTGTGCCCTGGGATTCTAACCACTTTCATTCACAAAGCTTTTCTTCTAACATTCTTAGCATTAAGCCTCCAATTTATTTTTCTTGTCTTTCTCTTTGCCCTTCTTTCTTCACAACTTTCATATCTTTCTTCTCTCTGGCATTTTTCATCATTCCTACTCCCCACAGTACCCCAGGCCTCATCACCATGGCAATGGGTGAATTAACTAATCCCCTGACCCACTGTGTGTATCAATCCCCACAATTAAAAGGTAGAACCAGAAAAAATTAATTGTGTGTTTTTTCCACTATAAATCTAGAAGATTTAGAACCCTTGGTTCAAGGTTAGAGTACCCCAGGGCAGCCGGGGATATAGGTCAGCGGCACAAGGGCCTGCCTGGCAAGCGCAAGGTCATGAGTTCGATTCTCGATACCAAAAAAATAAAGGGAACCCCAGGGCATTTAATATCCCTAAACTTGGTCCTATATCAGCTAATTAGAAATACTTACAAATGTAAAGCTCCTAAGCAAGAGCAAGTTAGAACTGCCCTTCTCTTGTCAGAATCACACATGATCAACAACAAACGTTTTCTAATGATCTGTGCTGTTGAAAGAAATAACCAAAGAGTTTCTCATTTTGTCTTATCGGAATTAGCAGGTAGCTCCCCAACCCTTTTGCCCGTGTTTGTTTTGCTCAGTTCTTTGACCCCTCGTTTTTATGACAGTCTTTTCCACTGATATGGCCATTGAGTTGAAAGGCCCAGTTCATGAACACAGAATTGTTCCCTAACTGTAAATCTTACAAGACCCAGAAGAAGGATTGCAACACCTACACAAAGCTTGGGAGACACAAAACCAACAACCACTCACTCAGCTCTCAACTCTCCCTTAAGCACCTCCGCAGTCAGAGACTCCCTGACCATGGCAAATAGACAACAAAACAAATTCTCTACAAAACAGGGACCTGAATACCACATTTACCCAAATACTCAACTAGCTTACACGGGAGGGATGAAGTGTTGGCTTTGTTCTGTTTTTAAATTAATTCAGAAAATAAGCCCAAATACTCCTTTTGCCACAGGTACATTTGGCCACATGGTTACCTGAAGCCATCTTCTCTGGGCTTCTAGTTTTAGACATTTGCCTAGCAGAGTCAGCAAAGGAAATTTTGTATCTTGTATCTTGAAAACACATAGGAACGTTTCTAGAATAGATTTTTGTGCAGAAATTCTCGTGTTTCCTGGGTGCTGTTTCTGGGCCAGTGCCCAACAGGACATGATTTTGCATGCTGGACCCATTTGGTGATGTCTGGAAACATTTTTAGTTGTCACACTGGGGTGTTAGTGGCCTCTGGTGGGCAAGGGCCAGGAACTGCTAAGCATTCTGCTGGTTTTAGACATTGCAATGGTCTTTTCTAATCTTTTGTGAGTCTATTGAGTGTCTGAGATACCGTTTATTGCATAAACCTCCTTAATTTTATGTAATCAAGTTCAGCAGTTTATTACCTTGTGGCCAGGCATAGTGGTGCACGCTGTAATTCCAGCACTCAAGAGGCTGAGGCAGGAGTATTGCTGTGAGTTTGAAGCCAACTTGGACTATATAGCAGGACTCTGTCTCAGAAGAACATCAACAAAAAAAATTACTACCTACACTTTTGAAGTTTTGGATAAGGAATCTTCCACATCCCTATGTCATGGTATTTACTTGCATATTTTGTTGTATTGCCTTGGCAATGTTCTATTTTTCCCCATAAAATGTGATGGTTTCCCCCAAACATGTCTTACTAAATGACCCTAAGTGACCAGTTTATAGGTTCCACCTATTTCATGTAAATCACATACACTGATAGGAAATAAAATAGCCTCTGAGAAAGATGAAACCAAGTGGTGTTAATGGAAGAAAAACAAGCCTTAGCGTCATAAAGCTCTGGCTCCTCCTCACTGAAAACAGCCCCCTCTTGCTGCCCCAGGCCCGATAACTTTCTCCCTTCCATGACCTAGCTGCGTACATCTATGCAAAAGCCCACTAAAAATAAGCCATTTCTTTTATCAGACTGACACTAAGCTGACGAGCAAAGCCTGATGCATGAGGAGCTCTTACTGAATGAGAAACGGAGATAGTGTTACACGGAGACTTTAAGATCCTTTAACACTCAGAAGAAGGCAGGATCAGTTGTAGAGACACAGAGTCCACGAGGCAGCCGCATTTAGGCCCTTGGATCAGCAAAGGCCGAGATGTTGCCCCAAAAGGCCTGCATCACGGTTCTGCTGGCTGAGTTTTTGCTGGCCGAGGTCTGCCTGGTGAGCGAGGCTTTCCCACAGTCCGTCATTACGCCCTGTTACAGGCTGTGCGCCAAGATGGGTGAATCAAGTGTTTATTGCCGCTGTTGACCATGTCCTTGGAAATCAGCTGCCATCCAGAAGACAGTTATAGATGGGTTCAGAAGACAGCTAGTCTCTTCTCGCCTTCATTTCTCTAGAACAAAACTTTCTGAAAGAGGCAGCCTCCTTGATACTAATAATAAGCTCATTATTCATCCACATGGTCACTGGACCCTTTCCAAGGGGAAAGCCCTTTTCAAGACTAGAGAACATTTAACCGGGCATGGGAATGCACACCTGTAATCCCAGCACTCAGCAGGCTGAGGCAGGAGGATTACTGCAAGTCTGAGGCCAGCCTGGGCTAGATAAGAGTTCAAGGCCAGCCTAAACTACATAGCAAGACCTTGTCTCAAAAAAAGAAAGACAGCTTTCAAATAATCAGTCTTTTTGCTCCCCACTAAGATGGATTTGGGGGATAAACTTCTGAATGGTGCCTTTATTCACCTGCTTCCAACATAATTTTGTTCCCCTGG